TAGCGGCCGCAGGAAACAGCTATGACCGAATATTCTCGAGTCTAGACCCGGGTACCATTGTGGTGGAATTCCCCCTTAGCCCAGTGGTGAAAAGCTGTGTACATAAGTAATAGGTGGACGGGGGGACGGATGGCGGGGGCCTGTTGTAATAATCACATAACAGATCTTTGCGGTGGGGGGTGCGGGTGGTTGGGCAGGAGCGGGCAGGGGCCTCAATTGGAGGGTTCTAAGGTGTGACTGGAGAGAGGAGAGAGGGAAAGTGTCTAAAACGGAGAGGGGACTTACCGGCGAACCTGGCACTGTGGGGGATGAGCCGGACCGACAGGGAGCCTCAAGTGGAGGATTGGAAGGTGTGTGAGAGAGGGTGACCAAAGATAGATAACAAGGCTAAAACAGCTCCTGGACATGGATGGCTGGTGTCACTATATATAAATTCTTGATGGTCAAAGGTGGATAGAGAGGGAATGTCGTCAGGTAGTCCAACGGTCTGTCTGTCTATCTCTTCCGTGCCCCCCCCTCTCTCTCTCTCTCTCTCTCTCTCTCTCTCTCTCTCTCTCTCTCTCTCTCTCTCTCTCTCTCTCTATCTATCTATCTATCTATCTATCCATCTATCGCTCTTTCTTTCTCTCTCTCCCCCTCTTCCCTTATCCCCTTACATAGTGGGGACCGGACTGAGAGAAAGGAGAGGACACTCCGGTATGTGTCCGCCGACCTGTCATAGTTTGTTAAGCGTGAATATGTGCAGAGGACAGTAAGCTGATCGTGAGCTATGTGGTTCCTAGATGCCGCCCTCCAAACCTCCAATTCCCCCCCTCCCCAAAAACACAAACACATAAATACACACACACACACACACACACACACACACACACACACACACACACACACACACACACACACACACACACACACACACACACACATCCACCCCACCTTCCGCCCCCTCCCTCCATTCCCTCACAATGTCTTTCATTTTCCCAGTCAAGGTAAACAATTCAATCATCACAAAGGGGAGTAAGCAAAAATAATGTAGTCAAATGTACATAAACACGAAAAAATGATATCAATAGGCGGATATTAGACCATATTTTTTCATATAAACTTTGAGTTTGTCAAGTATTAACAAATGGCCAAACATACACGGCCAACGATTGTCAGTTCTAATTGATTTCTTATGATTAGACATGATGAACAGAAAACTATATAACCTTAGCACAGTGGTGAAAGCTGTGTACATAAGTAATAGGTGGACGGGGGACGGATGGCGGGGGCCTGTTGTAATAATCACAAAACAGATCCCTGCAGTGGGGGAGCGGGGGTTGGGCAGGAGCGGGCAGGGGCCTCAATTGGAGGGTTCTAAGGTGTGACTGGAGAGAGGAGAGAGGGAAAGTGTCTAAAACGGAGGGGGGACTTACCGGCGAACCTGGCACTGTGGGGAATGAGCCGGACCAACAGGGAGCCTCAAGTGGAAGACTGGAAGGTGTGTGAGAGAGGGTGACCAAAGGTAGATAACAAGGCTAAAACAGCTCCTGGGCATGGATGGCTGGTGTCACTATATATAAATTATTGATGGTCAAAGGTGGATAGAGAGGGAATGTCGTCAGGTAGTCCAACGGTCTGTCTGTCTATCTCCTCCGTGCCCCCCTCTCTTTCTCTCTCTCTCTCTCTCTCTCTCTCTCTCTCTCTCTCTCTATCTATCTATCTATCTATCCATCTATCGCTCTTTCTTTCTCTCTCTCCCCCTCTTTCCTTATCCCCTTACATAAAGGGGACAGGACTGAGAAAAAGGAGAGGACACTCCGGTATGTGTCCGCCAACCTGTCATAGTTTGTTCAGGGTGAATATGTGCAGAGGACAGTAAGCTGATCGTGAGCTCTGTGGTTGCTAGATTCTGCCCTCCAAACCTCCAATTCCCCCCTCCCCACAAACACACAAACACACACACACACACACACACACACACACACACACACACACACACACACACACACACACACACACATCCACCCCACACTCCGCCCCCGCCCTCCATTCCCTCACAATGTCTTTCATTTTCCCAGTCAAGGTAAACAATTCAATCACAAAGGGAAGTAAGCAAAAATAATGTAGTGAAATGTACATAAACATGAAAAAATGATATCAATAGGCGGATATTAGACCATATCTTTTCATATAAACTTTGAGCTTGTCAAGTATTAACAAATGGCCAAACATACACGGCCAACGATCGTCAGTTCTAATTGATCTCTTATGATTAGACATGATGAACAGAAAACTATGTAACCCATAGCACAGTGGTGATAGCTGTGTACATAAGTAGATGCCGCCCTCCAATCCTCCAATTCCCCCCCTCCCCACACACACAAACACATAAACACAAAAAATTATATCAGTCACCATGTCTGAAAGTTCTCAGTTCTCACAAATTAATCAGTCATCATGTCTGGTAGATTGTGAGAAGGAGACCGCTTCTCGGCCCAAGCTGCACCAGAGCACTAGAGCCCCAGTACCCCCAGACGACGCCGAGCAAAGACAACCCTGCACCAAGGAGGACTCGTAAAGGTATAATCGTTGTTTGTTGTTTTTTCTTGTTGTTTGTTTTTTTTCCTTTCTGTCCTGGTGCAGGGCTCTGTCCCTCCACACCACCCCGCCGTCTGGGAAGTGCCGAGAGGTGGTCCCATAGGACCAAGACAAGACCGGACCGCCACCACCACCACCACCACCACCACCTCCCGAGATGCCTCACAAAACAGACTGTCGGTTTGACGATGGTCCTGACCCACACCCAACCGGGACCCTAACCGTCACCCTCACTGGCCTGTTCTCCGCCACCGTCCCCGCCGCCACCATCACGCAGAGGATAAACGACACACACCCCGACCTGCGGCTCAAAAAACATTATCGACTACAGGAGTCTTACACCATATACCTTGAGCCGCAGGCGGGGACAGACTTCCAGTGTCTACACTCAACGGTCCTGAACGAGGTGGCGGAGGGGACGGACGCTCTCCTCCAAATCACCGGCCGTGAGAGGAGGAAGGTATACCTCCAATGGGTCCCGGTGACGTTCTCTGAAGAACACATAAAGCAAGTCGTCAGGACCTTCGCCAAACCCAACTCACAAATTGACTTCCTCCCCAGACGGTTCGGTTCAGACGACCGTCACACCATCTTAGCGGAGGCCGACCCCGACGACGTTCCACACTATGTGAGGATCTCGGGCTGCGGGCCGGACCCGATCAATATAATGGTCCCCCTCCCCGGACGCCGCATAGCCTGCCTTCACTGCGCCCGAGTGGATCATTATTCCAATAAATGTCCGGCCCGCAGAACCGACAGAACCGACAACGACGACACTCCCACCACCAAGACTGCCCCCACCACCACGGAACCCGCGACCTACGCGGACCGACTAAAAGGACGACGCCCCACCACCACCTTACCGCCACAAGCAACGACAGCCGACACCCCTGCCATTACTGTGACCACCGACACCACCAACGCTCCAACCACCGATACCCCGATACCAGCAAGCAAGCCCACCGTCAGCCTGACTGCCTCTACCACCCCAAACACCGACTCCATCGACCAACACAAATCTCCCGTTAAAACCCCCAAAAAGACCCAGCCCCCTACAAAGACGCAGACAAGGACCCTCCCCCTCCCCCTCCCCCCACCTTCTCTAACACCCCTTCCCCCCCTTGAGGAAAGTATGACCAAATTGTCCCAAATCCCGAACTGGGCCGAGGAGGCAGAAAATAACCCCATATATGACAGTGACAGTGAAAGCGACAGTAGTGGAAGACGACTGACGATAGACACCGACCCTGAACAGGACAGACTAACGAAACCCAAAAAATCAAACCTCCCCCTAAAAAGACAAAACTCTCTCGACACAGTTACCCAAAATCTTAACGACCAAAGAACAGAGAAGAAGAAAAAGACAGAAAAACTTTCCACCCGACGGACAAACCCCTCTCCCAGACGACACTGACAATGACAACTCAACGACAAATTTTTCAACTTATCTTATCATTCCCTCTTTTTTCTTATATAGAACACAGGATGGCAGGAGTGAGAGTGCTTTCCTTGAACACAAGAGGGATGCGTGGTAAGTTGCCCCAACTGAAACACCTCATACACACACACAAACCAGACTTTCTCCTTTTACAAGAAACAAACATCCGCGACAGATACACCACACAAAAACTAACACACGAGCTAGGCCTAGCAACGGGGGTGTTCGGCCTGGGCTCCTACTGTCGCGGAACAGCTATCCTCCAAACTTCCGACAAATACACAATTACAGAACACACAGCAGACAACACAACAGGCCGATACACAATAGCCACCATCACAAGCAACACAGATAGATCTACATACACACTTGCCAACATATACGCGCCAGCACAAGCACGCACACGACCCACGTTTTACGACACACTAGCCGCAACACTAGCCTCAACAAAACACAAACTTATATTGGGGGGGGGGGGGGGGGGGGGTTTTCACAAAAAACTAAAAAAAAGGGAAATAGTGGGGACCGGACTGAGAGAAAACCAAATTGGGGGAAAAAAAATTCCGAAAATCCTAAACCCCCCCCGGTTTGAGGAC